CAGTCTCAAGCATTCAAGTATAAAAGGGGCTTCAACTGATAAAGTCAAGGACAATATCCACATAACATTCTCATTATTTTGTCTCAAATTCAATTTACTTTGTATAATGTACTTAGGTTAGATTTTTTTCCCCTAATTTTATGTTTGTAATCATTGCAACTTTATATTTTAATAAAATCAACCTTTCATTGTTTTTGCATCTTCACATTTGAGTGAATTGATATAAAGGAGCTCGAAGACCCTTTGATCATATTCAAGACTCTATTTCTTTGGCATGCTTTGTATCTTTGTTATTCAAACACATCGCCCAATTTTTGACAAACAAATCTATATAATAATTAAATCACTGATTTTTAGTAATGACCAAGTATTAAAATTTGAAACAACTAGGGATAATTTGTAATATTGAATACACCAATATTAGTATACTTATACATACCTGAATTAATTTGTGGATGGATATATCTTTGGTATCTATTTCAGGGAAATACGATCTTATAATGTAAACATTTATTGCATTGTTTGAAACTACGAAAGCATAATACTATATAAATTATACTTAAAATTATTTATACCATAATTTTTTATTGTAACAGCCAAGTTTGTCCTAAAATGTTATATATATTTTTAAATGATGGGGAAAAATTATTCTACCTTTTAGGTGGTATAATTTCTATCAAATTATACTCCCTCCATCTCAAATTATTAGACACTTTTAGACAAAATTTTGCAAATTAATAAAACTCATTAAATACACTTTACGACCTTACATTTTCAAGAAGAAAATATAAATATTCAAAAAGACCCTTCATTTAATAATCCATTGATGAAATAATATTGAAGAGAGAGAATATATGAGATGGGAAATTTTAAAAAAGTATTATTAATAAAACCTTATTTTTATCGAAGCATCTTATATTTTGAGACATTGAATCTTTTTTAAAAATGTCTTATAATTTAGGACAAAGTGAGTACTACCTTTTAGGTAGTATTAGATGTTAATTAGTGTAGCAGTGTATGTATGACATTTATAAACTTCATTTAATGAAGTCAATGCAAAATAAATTAAATACTAAGGTTGTGTTTGGATGTATGGGGATTTGAATCTGAACTAAATTTCCCATTTGGATACATGCAAGTCTATGAATTGTTTTAATATAAATTCTTTGTAATTTTATTTAAGAAGACCAAAATTTTTTATTAAAAGAAGACCAAGGATGGTCGGCCGAAAAAGAATAACAAATGTTGGCTTTCTGTGTTCCATGCTACTTGTAAACGTCAATTTTCTAGGAAACCAGCTCGTGATAATTTTATATCAAATTTATCATTATTGTAAGTTTAACAGAACTGGATTTTGAGAACATATCAGATTTTATATATATATATATATATATATGTAATTTTTTTTTTTGGGTAAGTGGGAGATGAGGTAATCTTTTTTGGTAGACTATAAATTATTTAGTGTTATTTTATTTATGCCCGCGTAAAAATATTTCGAAGTGTAAAGTATCAAAATATAAAATGAAAGTAAATGACTTGTAATTTTGTTGATTGGCGGGCTGTGTCAAAAGTTTGCAAGTAAAATATATTATTACTTAAAAATTATTTCCCTTGACAAATCAACAAATTTTGCTCGTACATTTATATCACTTGAAATAGTGATATTTTTAACAAATTTTTCTTTTGCAAATTAGCAAATTTCACTTATAAATTCTTGGTTTAATGGTTGCAAATCATGGAATGAGAGTAGCGAATTTTAGACTAATTTACTAAAAGATCTTTGGTCCTTATTTTATATTTTAAAATTTTTAAGCCCTTAATTAAATTTAATTCAATCTTTTGATTCATGTCATTCTCCTTTTATATTTTTTGGCTTATTCTTTCTTCGTCTTTGGCAGGCTTATTATTTATCAAAAAGTTTAGGAAAAACATGCGAAAATAGTTCAAACCACATGCTATCTTTCTCAAGAATTTTTTTCCACAGAATTCTTATGAAATTTTCCATGCAAGTTATTCCCACGAGAAATGTAGCAGAAAATTTTTTGAAAAATTCTTATACTAATTTTTTTGGGAAAAAAATACTACTTTCTAGAAGTGAACAAAATATGAAAAAAAAAAAAAAACTGTAGCACTACATCTCTTGATGTTTTTAATATTCGAATAATTTATAACGACCAAATTTTTAAACCGACAAGACTTGGAATAAATTATAATTATAATGACCAGGACTCTCATTATCTATAAAAGAAAGAAGACCTAGACCATCAAGGTCTCGTGATCTATGTAATAATTAAATCACTGATATGTAATACGAGATTACACGAAAGCAATATGATATTCGAATACTTTAATTTATTGCAGAAGTGAAGTTATATCTATACATGAACCACTTGGGCGTGAAATAAAATATGGAGAATAACAAATAAATTGTATAAAAATAGGTAAATGATAAAAGAGTATCATAAACTTAGATAATTATTATAAAATCTTTAGAGACTTATCTGACAATTTTTTTTAAGATTATATTTCTAATCCTCTATTTTATTTTGAGAAAATTAGGTCAATGTCCTCAAAAAATATAACTCCCATAAATTATGGATCAGGTTTTTAAATATTTTGGAATGTGGCCCATTCATAAAATCAATTAGATGTATTTTTCTTTTTTATCCTTAGAATAAATTTATTATTAAAACAGAATATATTTGATTTAACTAATCTTTAGCTGATTGGATCTTTCATTTTTATCATCAAAAATTGTATTATGCGTGCTCCCTCTTTGATTTATCATCTCTAAATATTTTCTTCATCAGATTTTTGGATTTGATTTCCCTAGATCATCATATTCACATCTCGTAGAGTGCTTTTCTTCATCAAAATTTTTAATCTAATTTTCTTAGATTACCATCTTCATTGCAAAGCTTTTCCTCTCTCTCTCTCTCTCTCTTTTTCTTTGTTTTTTCAAAATATTACGAAGAGGACATTAGACATTGAAAAAAAAACTACATTATTGATCTACGATACTATAGTATACCACTAATATACTGTCATAGATTAACATAATCAAACAATTAAATATAAACTTGTTTATAATTGACATGCAGTTATACACTACTACAAAAAAGGGAATAAATGACGGTTACTTTAGTTCATAAATGACGGTTAATAAGTGTCATTTATTCAGCTTGACATTTAAAGACCCCCAATAAATGGCGGTTATAAAACCGTCATTTAAAATAAAATTTTTACGAAGGGAAAAGCAAATTGAGAATTTAAATGACGGGTAAATGATATACCCGTCATTTAAACAAAGTATAAATGACGGGTATATAACTTACCCGTCATATAAAGAGACTTTAAATGATGGTTAAGTTATATACCCGTCATTTATAATTACTTTAAATGACGGGTATATAATTTACTCGTCATTTAAAGCATGGTAACAATCATGACCATATTTTAAATGACAGGTAAATGAGATACCCGTCATTTAAAGTCAATATAAATGACGAGCATTTTTTTAACCTTCATTTATTTCAATATAAATGACAGTTATTTATATAACCGTTATTTTTTATATAGTTTTTTTAATTCGTGAGCTGTTTTTATACCAGCCCCTTGCAAAAAGAAATCAAAATAACAGCAGCCAACCATTCCAGATTTTAATACCAACAAAATTTATTGTATTCAATTTCAAAATTCATCAATAAACAAATGTAATTACATAAAGTAACCTTTTTTCAAAAATAAACTGCCTATTAAAAAAAATTCCTAGCTACTTCTTCAAGGTAGTTTTATTAATCTTCTTTGTATGAAGTCCACACTTGAAAAATATATTGACACCATTCTTCAATTACCTCATTTATTTCTGCATCCTCGAATTCTTCAACATAAGAATCACACATTACAAAACAAATATAGCACATAAAAATAAAGCACATAATAAGTAATTTTCAGGTTTAATGTAAATCACACATTACAAAACAAATATAGCAAATAATAAATAACAATAAATTTTTAAATCACACAAAACAAGTAACCTACAAGTTTAAATTATTTTTTTTTCTTTTTCTTGTACGTTCCTTATCTTTGCTCTCCTTCTTTGCTCGAATGCTTCTACATCTTTTCTTTAAAATCCAAATACCTTCATTGTGATCATTTCTCATATAAAAGGCTTCATCCTCAACAAAGTAACTTTTCAAATGATATCCCCATAAAGGGATCATCTTCAACTGTAGAATCATTTATATCTTCATTTATTTTACTACTCAATAAAACGATAGACCAATTTACTTTAGCCGGATCAGGAACAAAGAACACTTGGTAAGCTTGTGAAGCCAAAATAAAAGGCTCATCTTTATAACCTTCTCTATTAAGATCCACCATTAAGAACCCCAAGTCATCAACTTTAAGACCATTTTTTCGATCAACCCACTTACAACCAAAAATTGGAACTTGAAATTTGATGTAATCTAACTCTCAAATATGCTCAATTACCCCAAAGTATGACATTTTTGCGTACAAGGGATTTTTGTCTTTAGCACTAGATATATGCATTGCTTGAGCTATAAGAGTTACACCACTATTTTGCATTATGCTCCGATCATCTTGCTCTTTGGTATAAAACGTGTACCCATTAATGAGATAGCCAGTGAAGGAAAGAACTTGTTTATCTGGACCTCTTGCCAACCATTTTAATTTTTCAGAAACTAAATCAGGATCGGCAGTCAACTTCTCAAGAATGTGTTGTTTCAACCAAACTGTAAAACTCTTATTATGCTTGTTTGAATACCAAATCTCTGATCTATTAGGGTTATCTCGCTTAAGCTCGGCCATGTGCATCTCTACATATTCCTCAACCTCAACAGAGTTGTGTAGTACATATAAATGTGCTTGTTCCCATTGCAAGTTTGAGATTGTAACTACTTTATTACCCATAATTCCTTCTCCATCAGTTCTACTATCATGCCGAGAAGTCAGAAGACCAATATGGTTGACATTTGATAAGTACTCAGTACAAAATTCAACCGCTTCCTCACAAAATGTATCGTTCAACTATACAACCTTTAGGTTGACTCCGATTTTTTACATATCCTTTTAGTATCTTCATGTAACGCTCAAATGGATACATCCATCTCAAGAAAACTGGGCCACACATTTGTATCTCTCTAACTAGATGAATAGTGAGGTGCACCATTATATCGAAGAATGCAGGCGAAAAATACATTTCAAGTTCACACAAGATTAACACAATTCGGCTTTGCAATCTTGACAATTTTGTTGGGTCAATCACTTTACTACATATAGACTTAAAGAAGAAACACAATTTTATAATCATGGCTCGAACCATATCAGGTAAAATAGAACGTATAGCCACTGGAATAAAATTCTCCATCAACACATGACAATTATGCAACTTTAAACCCTTCAACTTCAAATCCTTCAATGACACAAGGCCCTTAATATTTGAAGAGTACCCTTCTGGAACTTTAACAGTAGCAAGCAACTCACAAAAAATCTTCTTTTCTCTTCTAAACAATGAATGAGCCGCTGCATGAAGAAATGTGCGACTTCCCTTCTCTTGCGGAACCAACTCTTCCCCTATCCCCGTAGAAATCATATCAAGTCTTGCCTTGATGTCATCTTTAGTCTTTCTCAGAATATGAAGTAATGTACCAATCAAACTGTCACACACATTTTTCTCAATGTGTATCGTATCAAGAAAATGTCTCACATATAAAGATTGCCAATATGGTAGGTCAAAAAAAACAAACCTTTTCTTCCACCCACATGTCTTAAAATGCTTTGCAAAAGGTTTGCCAAACTTGATATTCAAATTCTTCACCTTGTCAAAATGTTGCTCACCTATCAGTGGCAAAGGTGCCTTACTTTCTTCTGAATTCCCATTGAAAGCTTTTTCTAGGTGTCGATAATAATGATCAGGATGCAACCATCTACGATGTCCGAGATAGACATTCTTCATCCCATGTTCTAATCTCACTAAATGTGTGCTATCTTCACAAATAGGACATTCGAGTTTTCCTTTGATACTATACCCTGATAAATTACCATATGCTGGAAAATCATTCATTGTACCAAACAACAATGCTCTTAAATTGAACCTTTCCTCTCTATGTCCATCATATACCTCAACACCATGCTCCCACAACAATTTTAAATCTTCAATTAAAGGAGCCAAATATATGTCTATGTCATTTCCCGGCTGTTTTGGCCCCAAAATTAAAATGGATAGCATCATATATTTTCGCTTCATACATAACCATAGAGGTAAGTTGTAAATTACCAAAATAACTGGCCATGTACTGTGACTGCTACTTTGAAGCCCGTGTGGATTCATTCTATTAGTAGATAATATAAGGCGAAGGTTTCTATTTTCTGCTCCAAAGTCAAGGTAATCGAGATCAATTTTTTTCCATTGAGAAGAGTCAGCTGGATGTCGAAGCTTTCCATCTTTGATTCGTTCATCCGCTTGCCATGTTAAATTTTTTGCATCCTCTGCACTACTGTACAACCGTCTAAATCTAGGTACAATCGAAAAGTACCATAATGCCTTCTTTGGACTCTTCCCATTCTCTTTATAGTGCAAGGCATTACATTTTGGACACTCCATTAATGATGCATATTTATTTCTAAATAATATGCAATCATTAAGACAGGCATGTATTTTCTCATAACTCATGCCAATTGAGCGTAGCATTTGTTTTACCTCATAAATAGTCCTTAGAAGCTCGTTGTTTGCAGGTAAAAGTTGTTTTATAAGTGTAAGATTTTCTGTAAAGCTCTTATCACTCCATCCATTGCTCACTTTTAAGTTGTACAATTTCAACACTACTGACAACTTTGTGAATTCAGTGCAACCAACATACAAGGGCTTCTCTGCATCACTTTTCAACATCTCTAACATTTCAGGACAATCCTCAAGTTCCCTTTCAATTGTATTGGCCATCTCTTCAAGACAGTCACCCTTATAAGTATATTGAGTCATGATCGTCTGATTCAAAGCTTACTTTATACTCCCAATTACTAGTAGACTCATCCCCTCTAGTCTCTCCATGCTTATGCCAACACTTGTAATTTTCATCAATTTCATAGCACACTAAATGGTCTTCCATCTCAGATGCACTAATTTGCTTCAAAAGACCACATCTTACACAAGGGCATACTATTCTTTTAGGGTCTTTCACATGCTCAAGAGCAAACTTCATAAACTCTTTCACACCATTCAAATACTCTTTACTTAATCGATTGGAAGACATCCATTCTCTATCCATAACTTTATAATCTAAAAGATAATTCATTCAAGGAAATGTGATCAGTGACTCATGAATATAGAGATAGGAAAGGAATGATAGAAACATTATCAATAAAGAAATTGACTACTCTACATATAATATAGAGTAATTAATGAATCATGAGTCACAATGCATGAGCATTCACATACTCTTTCAACCGCCGATAAAAAATTCGGTAGCATAACAACATAAAGAAAGTATTTCTCAGGCTAAAACCCTCTTTTCATTCTTGGTATCTTACTCAACAAACTAATTCCAACTATATACAATCACAAAACCAACAAAATTCTCACAAAATAGCATTTTCAAATTAACTCTAATTATTATAAAATTATATATAAAATTCGTTCAAAATTCATAGAAAAAAGAAAAACACTATAAACATCATTTTGAATCAATGTTTTCTGTCTCATTGATCATTCTAAGATTATACATATCCTATATTAGTAATCTCAAGCCAAGAACAAATCATTCTTTACCAAATGTAAAAATTTCAATAAAATAGCAATGATTTTTATAGAAACCGCGTGTCAGTTTTTGTTACTAAAATGAACTCCAATTGTAATGAAAACTGGTACACTAGTACATTTCAATATGTAGTTTTGAACGATAAAACTACTCTGATCAAACAATGCACGAAATTTAAATTAAAATTATTGAAATAAATCAGTCAAAATTCGTAGAAAAATACAATCACAAATATCCCATTTTGATCACTAATTTTTATCTTAATAATCATCTTAAGGCAAAGGAAATCATCTACAATCATTCTCAAGTCAATAAAACACCAAACATTAGCAATTTTCAATAACCCACAATATTAAAATGGGCAAAACATGAGGAGATATTTAAATAACAAAAATCAACCAATAAAATAATCCACAATCTCAAATAAATCAATTTCATAATCTAGAAATCTAAGCATATTGGAAGAAAATGAAGAAAAACCATAGAAATCACAAACCCATGTGCCTTAGAGAAGAGAGGATGAAACACAAAGAGGAAGTCAATGAGAGAGGAACCGGACGGTGTAGGAGGAGTACTTTCACACCGGCGAGGGACTACGGTGGTCAACGGCAAGAATGAAGCTAATTGAGAGATTTCTATCGATTTTTTTTAGAAGAGGAGAAGAAAGAAAACAAGGATGACGAACGGGCAGGAATGAAAAAATGAACCTGGAAATAGAAATAAAAAGGGAATAAATAACGGGTATTTATATACCGTCATTTATTCCCTGATATATTTAACACCTGTCATATATAAAGAAGGCTTTAAATGACGGTTGTTTTAAACAATTGTCATTTAAAGCCTAACATTTTTTTTATTTTTTTAAATGAGAAAAATCAAACGTTGGCCACGAATATATGACGGTTTTTTCTATAACCGTTATATATTGTTTAAACTTTATATGACGGGTTTTTAAAATACCCGTCATTTAAAGTTCAAATTTATTTTTTATTTTTTTCTTCCAGTAAATGAAATGTTTGGCTGAAATAAATGACAGGATTTTTTAATACCTGTCATTTAAAATCTTGTAATATATAATGATTTTTTTAAGGCCCGTCATTTATTTGGTCACCATCACCCGCCTATCTCATATATGACGTGTTTTTATTTGACCGTCATTTTTTATGGCATCTTATATTTACGTTTTTGTAGTAGCGATATATCAATGATATAGTATTATAGATCAGTAACATGAAAAATGCATAATTATTTTTTGAAAACAGATCAAACAAAATCTCAGAAAACCCTCACTTGGACTCTGGCTTTTGTAATAGAGTCTAACCGAACTTTCTCATCTTGAATGTACAGCCTTAGTATGTGTCATACCTCGATACTAAGGGTATAACTAGCACAAAATATGAGATAACCTAACATTCCACAAGTCTTAATTAAGAAAAAATTTAGCTAAATTATCAATTATATAGTTTTTATATATGTTTATAAAGTTCATAGAGTCTTAAATATCCTATAAAAATTTTGGCAAAGTCTTCCCTCCAATTTAAACCTCCTAAAATTCCTATAATAGAGAAACTAGTCGATCAATCCAGTAAACAAGACTAGCTCCACACAGCAAATTACCCAAACAACTTACGGGACGGACAGCAGAGGGGGAAGAAGAGACAAAACCCAGCACACGTTCATTCCACACCACTGATAGAACACGGTATGACAGCAACAGAAACAGGGGATGAGAGACTGTGCCAAATCTTGGCAGATCTTCAGTGCAGAAGAGATGAACAGGTCACAAAGGGAGTAAACGAAAAAGGAGACAAGAGAAGAGCTTCAACCATAGCTCCCTTTGAACAGACGAACAGACCCAAAAAAAAAATAAAAAAGAAAAAGCTGAATCACTCACCTTAGCCATCGGACGAACAGCAGAAAGAAAGGGAACATGACAAGCTGCCGGCGGTCAGGGGAGAACGGAAGAGCGACGGCGAGGTTCAAAGATACAGATCGACGGTGAGAAGGAAGAAAGGTTCAAACTCTCTCTCTCTCTCTCTCTCTCTCGCTGCTCTGTTGCTCGATGGGGAAGAATGATTTAAAAATCTGAACATTAGACAATTGGAAAAATTACAAGGAATAGCACATGGAAAAATTACAAGAGAGAGCACAAGAAAATTATAAAAGAAGGCATAAATTTTTTTATAATTTAAAAAAAAACAAAATTAAACTTTTGCTTTGTAAAATTTAAACTCTTAATCTTCATAAGTATTAACTAGCACAAATTTCACTAAACTATCACTTTCTTTTTTATATATAAAAAAATTAAATAAAATATCCATTGGAAGAAATATTTTGTTAAATTTAAAATTTAAGGTCATTATAGTATGGCTTTGTTTAGAAGCTACAATTTCAAACTTCTTCACTTCGCATTTGTGATTTTTCAACCTGAATTTGTAGCTTCCAATCTGCCTTGCCTTGTGTTCTTATGATCTTGTGGCTGAATCTCTAATTTTTTTTATCTATCGATGTGAGCTATTCCATTGTCTACTATTAGTTTCTTCATTGTCATGACCGAGAGTGCAGTGTTGTCTCCATATCTTCGGGTGGGTGAAAGTGAAACCAGTGTAAAAAAGAGAAATTAAGGTATTGTGATGCTTAAAGATAGTTTTGTCTTTTGCATAAAGATAAATTAAGAAACGTTCATTATTTTAATTTAAAAAAAGGTGAGTTATTAATTTTATTTAGCCATATAATGTTGACTAAATTTACTAAAGTCCCTTTTATTTTTAGCTGTTTTACTTTATGCCATAAAAAATATTGCGACTTGAATAAATTTATATTTATATATATAATTGATTATTTGTTCAGTCCGGCCGTGACCTTTACACCAATTTTTATATTTTCAATTGCATACATTATTATTAATCCTTGCCCCATTATTTTTTAAGACACTCCTTGATATATATTTTACATTACACCGTTTCAGCGTGTCAGTGCCTGAACTCTAGAATCCTAAGTTAGGATTCCTAACCATTGTGTACATTGGCTGACAATTCAAACACGGAATTCCTGTTGATGGACTAAAAACTTTTTTCTTTTCTCTTTTGTTAAGAAAGAGAAATAATTTGTTTAATTTTATTACTCAATATCGTGAAAAATATGAGAATATAACCATCTCCTTCCTAGGATTATTGTCAAAGTTGACTCTATGAGTTTATTGTTTTTATGTTTCTAGCTTAAAAAATCATATTAACTTATAAATTCGAACTGGATAAAATTTAATTAAACTCGTGAGTTGACAATTCAAATTTACTGTTTTTACGTTTTTAGCTAATAAAATTATGTCAATATGCTTATAAACTCATTGAGCAAAATAAGTATATATTGTGTAAAACTTGATTCATAGAAGTCGCAAAATTCAGTTCAATGAAAAATAAAACTAAAAAAATAAAAAAATAATATTAATAAAAAAGAAACAGAAATACCAAAAATTTCCCTATTTCAAATATAATAATTTATGAATGTAAATATATTTAATTTTAATAATTTATATTTCAATTAAATTATGATCATACTTTATATTTTAATGAATTTACTTTTTAAATTTACATTTCTGTCACGAGCTTAACAACCTTGCTTCCTAGACTAATTAATCAGATTTTTGTTGTATGAGACCCTTTTCATGGATGAGAATATAACATTGGGTGAGTGACAATTAGGTCCCAAACAATTGAATTAATGATAGTTAGGCCTCAAAAAAACTTTTTAAAGAATAAATTATAAATATCAATTCAAACAGTTATAAATAAAAGCTCCTGTTATAATTTAAGAGTTATATTTGGTGCTTAAATACTTATTTGCAATTAAAACTCCTAAATTTACAATTATCTGGATTGATATTTTTAACTTATTTTTCAACAAAAAATTTGTTGAGGACTTCACCTTCATTAATTCAATGTTTTGGAACCTAACTGTCATTCTCCCTGTAACATTTGAAATATTATATGTTTAAAATTGTCCTATCTCATTTGGATTAATTAAGAGTAATTTTGACCAATTATATTACACTCAACTATTTTCTTAAAGGTTAACTGACAAATTGACTCCTAATCTAGGAGAATTTGGGACCCTAAACTTTTTTTTAGTGTAATGTTTCTTTTTAACTTTTTAAAATAATGCAATATGGCCCCTATTATTTACAAAAATTAACTTTGATATTTAGATGACTAAAAAATTACATAAAATGACATCAAAAATTACAAAAAGTTACAAAAAATGACCCACAAATAAAAATAAGACCAAGAAAATTTTCTTGGTTTTTGGTAATTTGGGGTCATTTTTTGTAATTTTTCAATCATCTAATGGTTGAAGTGAATGTTGTTAATGGCAGGGGTCATATTACATCATTTTAAAAAGTTTAAGGATAATATTGCACTAAAAAAGAGTTTAAGATCTTGACACTAGTTTAGGGATCAATTTGCCATTTAACCCACTTTTTTTAATTTTGACCAGGACCCCTTTTTCTTAATTTAAGTAAAATAGTTAATAGATCCTTGTAATAAGAACTAAAGGTAACAGATATTTCATTTTATCCTATTTGTAAGTTACTTCTAACATGTTTTATCGAAACTAATAAAAAATTAAAATTTTAAAAAAATTAACTATGTCTTAAAATTTAGTAAATTTTACCTCTACCCCTAATAAGGAAAAAATAATTATTTTTAATAATTTTTTCTAGCATTTAATAAGTGTAAAAAAATAAGATGAACATAAAAAATAGTAAAATATCCTTATAAATAGAACCAAAATTAATTCTTTTTCTCTTTATCCTATAAATAAGACTAGAAGAACATGTTTTATTTGAGGAATCAGACACTAAATAAAGAGACTTGGACGACATGATACATGGCCAGGGGGTGCGTTCGTTGCAACTGTCCATATGGCCTTGCTAACAAAAAAGAGCCTCGCAACGTCCTCCCTGTAAAAAAGTTTAAAAAAAAAAACAATTATAATGGGAAATGAGATTAAAAAAATCAAAAGATTAATTAACTAAAATAAGGACCAAAAAATTTGGAAATCAAAAGGACTAAAAATTCTTTAGTGAATTGGTGTAAAAGTTTTCTACGATATATCTTTTCTGATCTATAACCATTAAAACAAAAATTTACAAGTAAAATTTTCTAATTTATTAGCAAAAACTTGTCAAACATATAGCAACTTTCAATAATTTGTTATTCTCATATACCTTTATTAGCAACTCTCAGCATGAGTTTGCAAGAAAGATTCATTAATTTGTAAATGAAAATGATTTCCAAATAATGATATATTTGGCAAACATTTTATCCACAAAATAACAATTCTCACTTGCAAAATTCATCATTCCATCAAATAATATTTTAAATATAAGAATAACATCTAAATCCAACCAAAATTAAATAGTTAAATGACCAAAAATTACCATGAAATTAATGGAATAATTACTTTGAACAAGTCCCTAGAGACTTTCCACTTACATAATTTTTTTTAATCACGTTTGTGACTCTCAGAAAAATAATAGAAAGGTAGTTGGTTATCATTTTCTACTCAATTTTAGTCTTTTACCCATTTGAAATAATCATTTTTTTCATCTAAAGTTACAGACCGTTCCTATGTCTAAAAATTAAAAAAGTTTTCAACTTCATTCCTATTAAATTTATATACTATAAAACAAAATACTCTAACATTTAATAATCATTTAATAATATTCTCAATATTTCATTGGGGCAAAAAGGTAAGGATGGATATAATAATCATTGAGACAACCTATATAAATGGGACTAAAATAAATAATTTCCCCTTGCCCTATAAATAATACTAGAGGAGTACTTTCTCTGTCTCTAAATATAAGATATTTTTAACCGAATTATGTAAACTAATAAACGTTGATTATCTAAATAAAAGCACAACAACATTTCAATTTTGCCCTTAATTATTGTAAATAAAAAATGAATCTCTTTTTTTAAAATAAATTAATGAGAATACTAATCTTTTTCTCTTTTAAATTTAATAAGAGTATAATGGTTCATTCATTAAAAAAATGTGCTAACAATCCTTTATATTTAGTGATAAAAAAAGATTCTAGAATATCTCTTATATATAAAGAGGGAGGAAGTAACTTTTATCGTAAAAGTGAAGTTATATTTAATTCATGAGCCACTTGGGCGGGTAAACTAATAATTAATTAAGCAGAGATCCAAAAAGTCTCGAGCCCAACCCTCTTGTTATATTCATAAATAAACTTGCAATATTTATGAATGTGGAAATTGGAACACTGAATATAATTGGGGGAAAAAAAGACAGTAAACAAAGCAAAAGAAAAAAAAAATCTATGAATTTACTCGATGTGTGATGGAAAGTGTGTAAAAAAAAAAACCATTAATTTATGATATGTATAAGGCCGAAGGATCCATTTCAGCATTTATGATATGTTTTTAGAATTTCTTACTTTACAACATGTGATATATATTAAACTAAAAAAATATTTGGCGAAAAAAATGTTTTAGAAAACATAATATTACTGAAAATTTTCAAATAATCAATTTTTAAAAATTGATTATTATTAAATCGGTCGAGACAATGGTTCACAATTCATTGATCAAACTATGATTGAACCATGATTGGATCGGTTATAATTAAATTAATATATTTTAATAAAATATTTTTTACTACCTTCACATGAATTAAGGAAAGTATTTGAAAGTGATTTGTATCATTAAATGGGTAAAAATTATCGCTATTTTTCAAGATTACCCTCCAACTAAATCCAATCCATCTTAATTAATGTTTGCAAGGTTTTTGGTGCAGGGGAGTGTGTCCTCAAATAATGTGATACATGTAACAGCCCTCCTGGGTCACCACTGCCTCTCTAGGGTCTTTTCCCAGGCGCTGGACAACACACATGTCACCACATGATTGCCGGCTTTCCCACTGGTGGTACAGTGGTTATTCCTCACCCCACCCTCACGGGGGTCTTTTAGAACCTCCCCAGACTCAAACCTCCAACCTCTACCACCTTAACGAAGTTGAGGCGAAGT